CTAAAAATGATACCCACCTCTTCAAAACAGATTTTAAAAATAACAAAATACCAAAAGAGCTGCCACATTCAAAATAAGAGGTAAGATAGGCTTAACCTCATTCCTTTCACCCCAAAGCCAACAAAGATAAACCTACCAATCAACCAACCAACATATCCCTAACATCTCTCTTCTTTTCTTTCTCTCTCCATGCTAGAGGGGCTGAGTAGCCATTTATGTTGTCTTGTGTGCACTTAGAGTGAAGGAACTAGTTAATGGGGAATTTACAGATGGCTCTGTGTGGTGGGTTCTGTGGTTTACATTTGTCATAAAACCCAAGGCAACTGATCTGTAAACTCAGACTTGAATTGGGCCCTTACATGGAAATTTTGCCAGCCTGTGGCAGTACCTAAAACATGCTTTCTGGGAAGGGCCCAAGAGCCCACTCTTTTTAGGACAGAATTTTCCAGGGTATTTTAGCATCCTCTATTATACTAATCACTATAGTCCTGAACATGCCTCCCACACCCATCACCAAAAGTTCAGTAGAGTCACACACTAGTGTGTTTGGTTAAAAGAAAATTCCCAAGCAATGCACAATGAGAAATTATGAGTTTTGGATATTAGAAATTATATTGGAATCAGGCTTTTAAAAGTCCTCTGCATGAAAAGTCCTCTGAAGTAACTAAAGCATATTTGAATAATACAGGAAACCATAAAGGCGAATAAGGTGATAAAGGTCTGATGAAGGGGAAAAAGAATGGATGTAAGTAGTTCTGATAATATTGGGCTCACATTTCAAATCAAGGCAGCCCACTACAATTAATGCTCCTCTCAAAGTATGTAAAAAAAGCAAAGTACATGTATAAAGACATGAATTGGCATGAACATATTTTATATACAAAGAGATGAAAAATTGTGCTCTATATGTGTAAAAAGAATTGTAATGCATTCCAATGTCATGTTGTAAAAAATAAAATTAATTAATAAAAAAGAAAACAACAGACAACAGATACAGTAAAATAGCAAAATAAAAAGGAGAAAGATATGAAATAAAATCTATCAGGTGAGAAGTATGAATGGGCTGAACTCCAATATTGGATGACAAGGACTCTCAGATTGAGTTAACAGAAATGTCAGACTCTATGCTTTCTAAAGAAGACAAGCTTATTTTCATAGAAAATTTGGAATTTAAAGGATAGGTAAAGATAAACCAAAAATATTCAGGAACCTCCATTTGACCCAGCTATTCCTCTTCTCAGACTATACCCAAAGGACCTGAAAACAGCATACTACAGGGATACAGTCACATCAATGTTTGTAGCAGCACAATTCACAATAGCTAAACTGTGTAGCCAACCTAGATGTTCTTCAGTGGATGAATGGATAAAAAATTGTGGCATTTATACACAATAGAATATTACTCGGCATAAAAAACAATAAGATCATGGCATTTGCAGGGAAATGGATGGCATTAGAGCAGTTTAAAATTACCATCACAGACAACTTTAGTTTGGAGAATACCAGCTTGATAAAAATGTTTCTTTAAATCTTTTACCTTAAAGACTTGTATACCTGAAAGATATGAACACATTTAATCTTTAAAGAAGAGTAATGCACCACAATTTTATTGATGTTTTTGTATTAACCAAGGTTAGCTTTTAAAGAAAAATCTAGACTCTGTAATGTAGGACAATACTTTAAAATAACAGTTGCTGTTTAACCACAGATGTACAAAACTTAATATCTCCAAGATAAGTTGCTATAGGGAATAAAACTTAACAGACACAATGTAATTAATATTTTCAGAAATTTTTGTCATTTTAACATATAAATATATCAGTACATTAATATTGGTTCTTAGGGAACAAGCCTGAATAGTTTTAACTATTTGTGTTACATATATAACCAACTTATATATATATATATATATATATATATATATATATATATATATATATATATATATATATATATATATATATATATATACCTTTTAATATTTATTCTTTTATTTATAGACCTTTATATTATTTAATTAGAACCTTTTGTTGTTTACTTAGATGTATTATAATTATACTTTACCACATATGAAACTTTTTTACCTGGAAACTTTTTTTTTACTAAATATATTTTTATATTTAGAACCTTTTTAAATAATTTTAATTCATTGATCCTTTTTTTGTTTATACCTTGAAATAACCCTTATAAATTTCTGAATTTAAATAAATTAATCCATTTTAATATGATGAAATACTTTGTTATTTACAGAACTTTAATTGAAATGCAGTTGAAACCTCTTGACTCCTTGTATGTAGAATTATACCTGTTAGGATTTTTAATTTATAGTAACCTTGTTTTTATAATAACACAAAATAATTTTAAATTTCTTTTAATTTACCAATTTATGTAAACACCAACATTGTTTAAGTGTTTTAACTTATGGAATTTAAGGAGTTAAAAGTACTTGGTAATATATTTAACAGTTAGCTTTTTAACATTGTAAACCAATTAGATGTCTTTAAAAAAACACATCTATGAATAATTTTGTACATTCAGATCTAATTTATGTATTTTTTAAAAACAACAAGGTATCAGACAAATATATTGAATAGCATTAGTATTTTTTCTTGTTGAAGAAAAATCCTAGAGACAATGGATACTAGATACTTTATAGACATTAACATTTTAACAGCTGTTTAACCATCTTGAAACAAAACTGCATTAGTAACTTTAAAGACATTTGAACTTGTATTTATTTACCCAATTTAAATTGAACCTTTTAAATAATATTAACCATAGGTATTTTGATCCATTTTTTAAAAATTTTAATTTATGAGCTTATATGTCAAGTTTTTGTACTAAATATATGTAGACATGGCAGTACATGTAGACAGACAGTACACTGGTGCACCCCCACAAAGCAAACAGAAAAACAAAAGCCTTGTAGCTTATTTTTTAAAAACCTATTAGGTTGAGAGTTAACCCTTGTAAATTGTCCTTAGAATAAAGCAGAGTATAATCAGAAAAACATATTTATTTAGGCATATTGGATCAAATTATGAATTTAACAAATATAGAATTTTAAAAGTTTTCTTACCTCTTTCCTGAGGTGGTCCTATTCATTAAAGCTAAAAAGAGTTGAGGGGACATAGACAAACGGGTTTTATTTTTTTTTTCCTGAAGGAACTTTCCAAAGTTGCACTCCTCCTTGGGATAGTCGCCTGGGTTGGGGTCTAAATTGGTTTTTCTGGTTTCTTGGTTAGTGGCCACCAAATTTTAGCCTGACATTGAAAAATCTTTGGACCATTTTTAATAGTTGGGAGTTATTCATGCTTACAAATATTGAAAGACAAAAGCCAAACATCCTAGACAAAATTATGCTCTTTTTATACAATTTAGGAATAATAATTTTATAAAACACTTTAGTTTTAATCTGTCCTCTATAAGAACTGACATGATTTACCCAGTTGGCCACCTGGCCCACTTCCTAATGAAGGCAATCTCTGGAATTTTTTTTTACCTTTAGCTTTTACTTTTGACATTTTTTTAGTCCTGTTGTCAGCACTTTACATTTTAATGCAAGCTTTAGTGAGCTCAGTTAAAACTTTTTGACCATTTTTTTCCCATTGGAAACAAACTGAGGTAGAAATTAACACAGAACACAAAGGGAACAAACAAAAACAAACTAACAGACAAAGTCCTGAAAATTGTTAAGAAAACAAGTTAAAGGGGTACAGGTAGAGCAATTTTAGAGCTTCTTTGTCCCATGATGCCAGTGGAGGGAAGGAATGCTGATGAAAGAAGAGTGGTTATGAGAATAAGAAAAAGGCCCACGCACAACACATGGCTAGACGAACAGGACAAATGGCCAGTGAACAGACACTGGACAAATGACAAACAGCAAGGCAGATGCTGGAGAAATGACATACATCAGAACAGACACAGGACAAGCAACAATCAGTGAGGTCATGCAGGGAGACCTTTAATGGGGCAGAGACCATGTCTTGTCCTGTCCCCAGAAACAGATGAGGCCCTGCAGGGAGGCTTCCAATGGGACAGAGACAATGACTCGTCCTACCCCTAGGCACAGGTGAGGCCCCACTGGGAGGCCTCTAGGGAGACAGTGATAATGTCTTGTCCTGTCATGGGAAAGGTGTAAGCAACTGCGTCCAATCTGACCTTGTCCCCAGAGGAATGAACTTACCAGATCTAACAGGCTTGCAGGAGGCTTTTCAGAGCATCCTAGGATGGACTGGAATCGTCTTTGGAGTGCAGCTGAGGAACGTCTCTCAGGAGCTCCCCTCTACTATGGGGCCGAGGTCCAAAGGCCCATCATTGGAGGCAAATTTGGCATGAGGGTAGGGAAGAAATTGATCCTGTATGAGCCCCCAGATGTTACAGTTAAAGCTTCATCCTGGGGTTCCGTAAATTGACTTCCAGACTACTCACTTATAATCAAATCAAGCCTTTATTGAAGCACACCATGGCAACTGACCAGAACATAAAGCTGTTCCCCTGATCACCCCTGAACAGTTGCAAGGGCACTCTTTATAAGCCTGAAAATCACAAAAGGGACATTTTGGGGGTCTAGACAATGCAAGCAAGCCAAGTTACAGAAATGGGAGAATGCAGTCAAGCAGTGGGAAGCCTAAGCAATAATAGTTAGCTCAATCACCCCAGTAACAGAAACAGAGCCCTATTACCCTAGTTACAGAAACAATGCCCCATTAGGTAGTTCCATGTTCTTAAAGGTTTCAATAGCAAAAGGAAAAGAACATTTTGCCCTGGTCATGACCCTTCTACTTGGCATGGTTGTTTTACAGGATGAAGTTATAAAACAAAATGGAGTCACATTTGCTTTTACTATCACAATTTCCCTGTGAAAAGCTACAAGGCCTTTACTATTGTGTTATGTGTGCACACTTGTTTATGTGTTGTATGTCTATATGTGCATATGTCCATATATGTTCTGTAAAGGTCGGGCGAGCGTCGGAGGAAGAGACCACCAAGAGACTGTCTCATGCAACAGCAAAGGGTTTATTGGGGGTCCAGCATTCTGGGGCTCAGAGCTCACTTGAATAGAGCAAAGAGAGAGAGCCCTGAGAACAGCTTAAGCAGAGCTTATATAATTTTCTTGGAGAGGGCAGGGAGGGAAGTTCATTGACAGGTCAGGGCGAGTGGGCGGTTTGCCTGCAACCGAGTGAGGGAGTGCATTCTGCAGTTTGTCAGTTGGGGACAGCACATTCTGGGAACAAGATTAGCAAACAGTTCTCAGGATTTCAACAGTGTTTTGTTAAGCATACAGAAAACAGAGTGACAAGTACCTATTTTATTAACCTTTCATTCCCCACTTCTTCTTCTGGCTGCTTTTAATCATAAAAGTGATCATTGGGGGAGGTGTCACATTTTATGTCTGCTAGTGGGGTATATTGTTGTCTGATTACAATAAGTTTGACTTGTCCAATTTGGGCTTGGAGAAAGGAAACTACACGGTTGAGCAAATAGGGTCCTAGAGTTAGCAACAATATAAGGGTTATTAAAGGACCGGCCAGGGCTGATAAAAGCGTAGTTAACCAGGGGGACTGTGTGAACCAAGACTCATACCACCCTTTTTGGGCCTCTCTCTCTCACTGACGCTTTTCAAGGCATCTTTTTAATTTACTCATAGATTTTTTTACAACTCCAGTATTGTCGGCATAAAAACAACATTTTTCCCTCAATGCAGCACAAAGGTCCTCTTCTCTCTTGAAGAGGAGGTCCAACCCTCGCCTGTTCTGTAAAACAACTTTAGAGAGAGAGGTTAAATATTTCTGCAAAGCTGTGATGGAGGTTTCTAATATCTTTAAGTTTTGGTCCATTGCTGTTTTTAATTGGGTCATTTGTTGTGTCCCACGGACCAGGGCAGTGGTTCCTGTGCCCACCCCTGCAGCAACTCCTTTTCCTAATAGGATGGCTAAAGTGAGGGATACAGGTTCCCGGCAGAACTGGGTTGTATGTCCCCCTATTTGATCTTTAAATGAACCTGCGTCATGATAGAGCACTCTGGGAAACATCTGCACCATTACATAATTAATTACATCTGTTGACCATTTTATGAAAACATAAACAATGTTTAAGTATATAGAATTATACTGTTGTAGGGATGGACAAGGCAAGGCACCTAAGATAGCACCGAAGACAGGGAAACAGTCCTATTTGGTTGTAACCGGATTCAGAGGGCATTGTTTCTGTTGTAATCAATTAATCCCCTGAACCCCAAGTTTAGGTAGTTTCAGAATTTTGTACCCAACATGTAAGGGAAGGGGCTCAGAAGTTCACAGTCTGAAGAAGTTCACAAAAAGCAGTTTTTGTTTCTGTTTTTTCTCTGTTCTGGGCAAGTTAACTTTTCAAGGACACCTGGGAGGGGGAGAGCTTTTTTTCCCCTTTCTTTCTTCCCCCTGCCAGCTGTTACCATGGAGCCCAGTTGGTAACTTCTTTCTTAGAAATGTAGCCATCTCTGTGAAGCCCCAGCTCAAGGCCAGAGGCCTTGTTCACATATTTTGTGAAAAACTAGTCAGGGGGTGTCTAGCTTAGGAGTGCTGATTTTTTTTTTTTGCCAGTGGACAAGTAGAACAGGGCAACACGAAAAGAGGAAGTTTATCTACACTGAACTCTTTTATAGGGACTCTTTTGCTGAAAGTCTTAAATTCAGCCATGGTGAAGACTTCTGGAGAAGGTCAGTTAAGACTTTTCTGTGGGCCTGGTACAGAGGGGGAAGACGGGGAAGGCGGGGCTGAGAGCAGCTCCATGGATCTGAGAATGAGGAAGGAGAGATGTAAAAGAATAATGGGAAAGGGGTTTGGGATTTTCCTAGCAACAAAAACTTGAGCAGTAGAACAGGTAGAGCAGAGGGGAAGACGGGAGTGAGTATCCCAAAAAGTCTGTGAGGGACTTTAAATTTTTAGTATCCTGTTTTCAGTGATGACAAAGCAACTTTAAAGGCCATTTACATTACATCTTGGATAGGGGTCTGAGGGCTCTCCTCAGCTGGTTTGAGCTTTGGGTTAGCTGGTAAGAAGACCTGGTGGGACCCGGTGTGGGCACTGACAGGAGAAGAGAGGAGTGAGTGGGTGGAGAGATGGCCATTAGGTACCTAAGGGGGCTGTATGCGAGATAGACAATACTTTTTGTCCAGTAGGATTTGTGATCAGCCATTGCTGCTGAACGGGCTGATGAGGGTTAGGACTACTGGTGGTCAAGGGGAGAGTCTATAGCCTTATCCACACAGTGAATACGCAATTTGAGAGGGTTACCAGTCTTTTCCAATTTCCAGCCAGAGTCTGGACAGGGCGCAGGCTTGAGATGAGAGGCATGGATCCAGGAAGTGATTCCGTCTACCTTTACCGCTGTAGGTGTTATAAGTAGCACCTGGTATGGTCCTTTCCAGCGGGGTTCTAGGGATGACACCTGATGTCGTCTTACATAGACAAAGTCTCCCACTTGATACCGGTGTAGAGTCCCTTCGTCCCCAGGTTGGTAGGCAGTGGCCAGCTGTTTCCACAGGTATCGCTGGGTTCTTTCAAGAGCTTTAAGTCTGTCAAGCAAGGGGGTGTGAAAGGAATCATTAGGTCTTAGAGTTGGGGTCAGGTCCCTTACTGGAGGAGGGGCACCATAGAGAATTTCATAGGGGGTGAGGTTACACAAAGAAACAGAGGGAGTATTTCTTGCACAAAATAGTGCATAAGGCAGGAGCATAGTCCAATCTTTTATGCCGGTCTCTAAGCTTAATTTCGTTAAGGTCTCTTTAATGGTTCTGTTTATTCTTTCTACCTGTCCTGAGCTATGGGGTCTGTAAGCACAATGTAACTTCCAATTAATCCCCAGGGTCCTGGCTAACCCCTGACTTACCTGGGCCACGAACGCCGGTCCATTATCAGACCCTATTACCTTAGGCAGGCCGTATCTTGGAAAACTATCTTCCAGGATCTTCTTGACCACCATTTGCGCCATTTTTTTTTTTTGTGGGGAAGGCTTCAATCCATCCTGAAAATGTATCGTCCTGGAGGAAGCTGCTGCCATCAGTGAACCATATGACTTCAGGGTGGGGCAGTGGCTGATCCTTTAAATCCCATAGTATACTGGTTTCTTCTGCCAGTATATGTGGACAGTCATGAGTGATGGGTCCTGATGATTGTTCAGGTAGTAGTGTAGCCGGGTTAAGTGGGGCGGGGGGGGGTCCCAGTGTTATTCTGTCCTTGTTGAGCAACAGGCTCTGATAGTGTGTTATTCTAGAGTTTGATAGCCATCTGTCTGGTGGCTGGCGGATGATGCTCTCTAGGGCATGGGGGGCTATAATGGTTAGCTTCTGCTCCAGCGTTAACTTATCAGCATCCTTGATTAGTAGGGCCACCGCTGCTATAGCTTTTAGGCAATGGGGCCATCCAGTAGCCACTGAGTCCAGCTTTTTAGACAAGTAGGCTATAGGCCTTTTCCAGGGTCCTAGAGTCTGAGTGAGCACTCTTCGTGCTATTCCTTTCTTTTCCTCAATGTAGAGAGTAAAGGGTTTTTCTACATCCAGGAGTGCTAAGGCCAGAGCAGATAGCAGCACCCTTTTGATTTATCAAAAGCTTGTTGGTGCTCAGGGGTCCATTGGAATTGGGCATCTCCCTTTAACAATGGGTATAAAGGAGCAGCTAAGGATGCAAACCCAGGTATCCATTACCTGCAAAAGCCAGCAGTCCCAAGAAACTCTCTGAGTTGCCTCCTGTTAGATGGGGGTGGTATCTGCACAACGGTTTGTTTTCTGGGCTCAGTGAGCCATTGTTTACCGCCCCTAAGGGAATAGCCCAGGAAGATTACTTCTTGCTGGCAAATTTGGGCCTTATTGGCAGAAGCTCTATACCCGAGTTGAGCAAGCTCGGATAATAGTGCTTGGGTCCCAGACTCACAGTTTTCCTCATTGTCTGTTGCCAGTAGCAGGTCATCCACATATTGAAGTAGGGTGACTTCGGGGTGCGTAGTTCTGAAGTTGTTGAGATCTCTGTGGAGGGCTTCATTAAAGAGAGTGGGGGAGTTTTTGAACCCCTGTGGGAGTCTAGTCCAAGTTAGTTGAGCAGACATTCCGGTTTCTGGGTCTACCCACTCGAAAGCAAACAGCAACTGACTATCTTTATGCAGAGGCAAGCAAAAGAAAGCATCTTTTAAGTCCAGAACAGTATACCATTTTTGCTCAGGGTTCAGGGTGCTAAGCAGATTGTATGGATTAGGTACTGTGGGGTGAATGTCCTGCACTCTGTTGTTGATTTCTCTTAGGTCTTGAATGGGGCGATAGTCCCCGGTTTCTGGCTTTTTCACTGGTAGCAGGGGAGTGTTCCAGGCCGATTGACAGGACTTTAGGGCCCCTAAGGCCAGATATTTCTGAATATGGGGCCTTATCCCATCTTTAGTTTCTTTGCTCAGAGGATATTGTTTGACATTGATTGGGGAGGCTGAGGTTTTTAACTCCACTGTTATTGGAGGTTGTTTCATGGCTAGGCTTAACCCAGCAGTTTCTGCCCAGGCATCTGGGTAATCTGTTATCCATTTCTGGGGTAGCTTGCCTGTTTGATCAGTCTTGGGGGGTGTGAATAGTTGATGTTTATCTTCTACTGACATAGTTAAAGTCATAACTATAGGAGTTTTTACTGAAGGATTTAGAAATTTCATTTGGGGGCCTTCAGGGTTAAAAGTTATTCTGGCCCAGAGCTTGGTGAGCAGATCTCTGCCCATCAATGGGGCAGGGCATTCTGGGATCACTAGGAAGGAGTGATGGACTTTTCCTTTCCCCAGGTTCATGGTCCTCTTAGTTGTCCAAGCCTGATATTTACTGCTGTTAGCCCCTTGAATTAGAGACCTTTTATTTGATAGAGGGCCCAATGTGGCCTTAAGAGTTGAGTATACTGCCCCTGTATCCACCTCACAGTTTACTGGGGTTCCCTCCACTTCAAAAGTTACCCTGAGCTCAGGGAGGGGATCTGAGCCCCGACTTTTTTAGTCATCCTCCAGAGTCAGAATGGCTGGCTGGTGTGGCTGTCTCTTTTTAGGGCACTCTTTGGCCCAGTGTCCTTTTTCTTTACAGTAGGCACATTGATCTGAGGCCAGAGTTGGCTTCTGACGTGGGCCCAGGTATCCCTTCCTGTCTCCCTGTTTCTTAATTTCTGGCCTATTTGTTGTTGTGACCAGGACCTTAGTCAATGCCTTAGTCTGTCTTTTGCTTCTCTCATCCTCCCTTTGCTCCCTTTCTTTCTCCCTCCTTTGTTCCTTCTCTTCCTCAGTTTCTCTTTTATAGTATACCTTCTTGGCTTCTCTGACTAAATCTCTCAAAGTCATATCTTGTAATCCATCTAAGCATTGTAACTTTCTTTTAATATCTAGGGCAGCTTGCCCAATAAAGGCCATTGTGACAGATGCCTTTTGATCCTCTGCCTGAGGATTGAAAGGAGTGTATCTCCTATATGCCTTCATAGTTCTCTCTAGAAACATAGAGGGAGATTTATCAGGCCCTTGAATAATCTCTCTTACCTTGGCCAAATTAGTTGGTTGCCTAGCAGCCGTTTGGAGACCAGCTGTTAGAGCCCGGCGATAAGTGGACAGATGCTCCCTACCTTCAAAGGTGTTGGGGTCCCAGTTGGGTCGGTTCAAGGGGAAGTCGGCTTCGATTATGTTGGGAAGTTGTGTCGGTCACCCATCTGGTCCGAGGATATTTTTTCTAGCTTCCAGGAGGATTCTCTCTCGTTCCTCTGTCATGAAGAGAGAGCCTAAGAGTTGTTGGCAGTCATCCCAAGTAGGCTGGTGTGAAAACATCAATGACTCAATCAGACCTGTGAGCCAGGTGGGGTCCTCAGAAAAAGGGGGATTGTTATTTTTCCAGTTATATAGGTCTGAAGAGGAGAAAGGCCAATACTCGTAGGCTTGCATTTCTCCTCCATGGTCATCGTCTATCATTGGCCCATAAGGACGGAGGGGGAGTATCACGGGGGCTTCAGGGTTTTTAATCATTCACTGCCGGCGAGTTCCTTTAGCTGGGCCAGCTTCCTCCAGGGGAGGAGGGGCTGTGTGTGCCGCGGGGAAGTCATCTGGAGGGCGCTGGGCCAGCTCAGCTTCCTCCAATGGTGGAGAGGCTGAGTCAGCAGCAGGGGAATCACTTAGAGGGTGTTGGGGGTTGGGGGACGAGGGCAGGAGATAAGGAGGGGGAGGAGAGTCCAGTAGAGTATTGAGACTCAGGGATAACAGAGGGTTGAGGAGGAGGAGGAGGAGCAGAGGGTTTGAGAGATAGAATTGTGGGGGAAGGAGTAGGAGCAGGGACAGGGGCAAGGAAAGGCTTCACCCATGGAGGAGGAGATTCACAGAGGTCCTGCCAAGTTAAGATATACGGCTGTTGATCTGGATGGCTATGTGGCCCCTGCTGAAAGACAAAGACAATATCTCTGACTTTTTGAATTAGTGGGGAGTAGAAAGATCCTTCTGGGGGCCATCCGACTCCAAAGATGGGCCATTCTGAGGCACAGAGAGTCTGCCAGGTCTGGCGTTTTACTGAAAAAGAAAGATTCTGAGCCCTTAAGCGGACTTCGGTCCAGTGATCAAGGGTCAGTGACAGAGGTGTTGAAGTGCTCTGTCCCATAATGAAAGATACACAAACGGTGAAAGCAAGGACACATGATACAGACGATAAAGACAGACAGTAAACGTTCAACACTGAGACAGGACTGAGTAGCCGGCAAAACCTGATGGGCTGGCAAACCGAATCCGAAGCAGAATACTGCAGAATACTGAGTCGAGGAAACTACTGTTCCTCGATTTCCAGAGTCCTCTGGGGCATCACCCAGGGACATGGCCTGTGGCTGTGTGACACGTCTGTCAGCCACTGTCAGAGAGAGCTCACACTCTTCACCAACAGCCACTTTGCCAAGCCCTCCTGAAACCTGAAACCAGAAACCTGAAACCTGAAACCAAAAATCAGAAACCAGAAAGATGCGCCTTACTTACCCCGAGAGGAGCCCATTGGGGGTCTTTCGTCTGCCGCTGCCGGATCTCGGTGGAACCTCCAAATGTAAAGGTTGGGCGAGCGTCGGAGGAAGAGACCACCAAGAGACTGTCTCATGCAACAGCAAAGGGTTTATTGGGGGTCCAGCATGCTGGGGCTCAGAGCTCACTTGAGTAGAGCAAAGAGAGAGAGCCCTGAGAACAGCTAAGCAGAGCTTATATAATTTTCTTGGAGAGGGCAGGGAGGGAAGTTCATTGACAGGTCAGGGCGAGTGGGCGGTTTGCCTGCAACCAAGTGAGGAAGTGCATTCTGCAGTTTGTCAGTTGGGGACAGCACATTCTGGGAACAAGATTAGCAAACAGTTCTCAGGATTTCAACAGTGTTTTGTTAAGCATGCAGAAAAACGGAGTGACAAGTACCTATTTTATTAACCTTTCAGTTCATGATATGAAAATTGGCAGATATATAAGGAGCACACAAAAGAATGAAAAATTGAATCCAAATACCTTTAATTCACATGATTTAAAATGGTTCAATTTAAATTGGGTAAACAGATGAAAATAAATATATCTTTAAAATTATACTTAACTCACAAGTCTCTCTAGGTGATCAAAAATGTTGATCAATAAGATATTAATGTCTATAACATGTCTAATATTCCTTGGTTCTAGAAATTTTCTTCAACGAGGAAAATGGCTAATACTGTTCAATTTACTTGTCTGATATTTTGGTAAAATAAGTAAACAGATTTGACATGGGATTACTCATATTTATCAGTAATTTTGTTTTTAGACATCTGATTAATTTATAAGATTAAATTGCTACTGTTAAATATACTATCAAGTACTCTTGACTCCTTCAATTCCATTCGGTAACATTATTGATGTTTTCATAAATTGGTAAATGAAAGAAAGAGTTTAAAGTTACCTTCTCAGCACTAAAAAGGTTTTACTAAAAATTTAAAGTCCCAATGGGCATAATTCTATATACTTGCACATTGTGTTTTCATAAAATGGTAAAAAAATGTAATTCTTTTTTTAAAAATATTTTTTGGTTGTCAATGGACCTTTATTTTTTTATGTGGTGCTGAGAATCAAATCCAGTGCCTCACACATGCTAGGCTAGTGCTCTACCACTGAGCCACCACCCCAGCCCAAACACATGTAATTCTATTTACAAAGGTTTATTAAAGATATAAAGATGTGTGAAGGCCCAAAAGTTTCAACTATTTCAATTAAAAGTGATGTAAACAACATAAAGTATTTCTTTTTATTAAAAATAAAATAATTTGCCTAAATTTGAAAATTTTCAAGGATTGTTTTAAAACGTGAACAGAAAAGGAGGTTAACAGATGGAAGGAGAAATTAGAAGATTCTACATATGGAAAACATTTAATAGAAAGGAAAAAGTGTTTCTGAATAAGAAAGTCTTTATGTGATGAGGCAAACAAGAGTTTAAGTGAGTAATAAAGAAGGTCTGTGTACATTTGTTTTTACAATCAGTCATATGTTAAAATGACAAAGATTTCTTAAAACATTAGTTTACCCATTGTTTAAGTTTTGTTTCTTTTTTCTAGAGCAAGTAACTTTAAAGAAATTAAACAACTAGTTAAACAAGAACTGTTATTTTACAGAATTGAACTGTCATTTCTCTAAAAGCTAAACTTGGTCAATACAAAAATATCAATGTAATAGTAGTGCTATTATTCTTCCTTGTATATTAAATGTGTTCATATATTCCAGGTATACAAGTCTTTAAAGTAAAAGCTTTAAAAAAGCATTATATCAAACTGATCTTCTGAAGTTGTGTGGTAATTTTAGGCTTAAAAGAAAAATATTGGGGATTAATTTATATAATTTAATGTTCTATAACTGGACCTGTTATCAATGAGATATATAAAGTTTTATGTTACTTATTACACTGGTATACAACTTAAATGAGAGCCTAATGTATGTAAAGGTTAATATTGTAGAACACAAACATTTTGCAACTTTTCCACAAAGGTTAAAATTTCTCAGCCTTTCTGTTATTCATGTTTTAAATGTAATATCATATTTTGTTAGCTAGTATTCATGTAACCTCAAGCAACAACATATGTAAACTTTATAAAATGATATTTAAGAAACAAAAATCAGCTTCAAAACTACAACAGTTTTCTTAAGATCTATAAAGATTTATAAAGCGCCCTGCCTTACCCGAGAAAAGGTTTTGCCTCCCATCCTAATACATGTCAGAATGACTCCATAGCAGGCCAGACTTCAGTTCATTTAAGTTGTATTAAAAAGATTGATTTTTGTTGCTAAGGTTACTAGGATCTCAAATAGGGATTAAAATATAACTCAGGCAAAATTAAAGGTAGATATTACAAAAACTAAATATGTTTTTACTCTGGTTAATTTTATTTTGTATTTTTCTTATAAACTGTATAAATGTTGCCTGTTCATGTTTTACAGAGGTATTGCTTCAAGAACTCACAACCTGAGTTAATTTAAGATAATAAGCCATCACTTAAAGGACAGATAGGATAGCACAGATCCCAATTGATATGAAGTTATAGATATTAAAGTTAAAGCCCAGAATTCTTAATTTGAGATTGGTGATACTGACTTTCTCAATGTTTAAAATCAAGTATTAAAAACAAAAGCTAAGTTATAAGGGACCAAGAACAAATATTTGGCTCTTGCCCTCCAATTCATTGTAAACCCAGAGAACAGGAGACTTCTCTAAATAGCTTTGCAACTCTGGGCCACATAACCTCCTTATTAGGGAGATTACTGAGACCCCTGGAGAACAGAAAGCTAATCAATGCACTTGCCATGAAGAGGAGGGCTATTGGAGAAGGGAAACATCCCTGGTGTTTCCAAGGGAAGCCACATGGTCAGCAAGACCTGGATCATGTCTAGAGCAAATGGAACCAGCAGAACTAAGTAATTGCTCTCAAATTATCCCAAAATGACTCCCATGGAAACTCAGCTGACTCTTAATAATATATAAAAACAAAAGTCATTTTTACTTGCTTCATTCTAAACACCCAGCAAAAACAGTTAAAACCAAAATATAGACACTCATGGGCATTTAAAGATAAATAATAATAGTTAAATATAATTTAAGATATACACTTATGCTAGCCCCCCAAAATAAGTAAGACTGGAACCTACAAAAAGGGATTCTCAGGCAAGAATGCCTGATAATTATCAAAATAGACTATCAAGAGGAACTGCTAGAGTCAGAAGTCTTTAGTTAATTTAAGGCCTACAGATATTCCTAACTTACACAGGTAGGCTTGATGTTTGCTAGTACAATTACCCAGCCCTAAGTAACAGAAATAAAGGGATCTCTACTAGACACAGTCATACCAGCAAAATCTTACAAGATCAGATTACACTGAGTAGTTTAACTATATGTCATGAAAATGGACATTGGCAGCATTTAAAGTTAAATGTTGTGTTTACATTCCTGATAACTCTAAAGATGTTAAAGATTTACATTCCTATAAAAAGGCCTTGTCCACTCTGGCCTTATTATGGGGACAGCTTCTCCTGGTGAGAAAAAAATATTAACTTCTGCCATCTTCATGATATTCATTGATTTGTTCTAAAGGTGAAAATATTCGTTCAGTACTCATGTTTTTTTTTTTTGTTTCTATTCCATAGAAGCACCCATCTGCACAGGACTTTAGAACCTGTTCTTCCCCAACCACACTTCAATCTGATCTGAACTCCCATATCACCTGCTCTCAGCTAAGAAGAAGCCAAAATGAGCACCTCCCCCCTTCTTACAACAGTGGAGCCAAAAATAGACAGACAGTTAATATAAATTAGTAAATTAAGTCAGGTAAGATCAGGAAGAACAGTTTTGGGTGAGTTTGAGAAGTTGGGGACTGTTACCTGAGGGATTAAAATTTCCTCAGTGCTCTTCCTCTACCCTATCAAAGATTTGAAAGGGACACATAAGACAAGGGGGAAATAAACTCAGCCTAACTTCCTCTAAGATTAGGAGCCATCTCACCACAAAGGCATGAAAAGTTAATTTCAGCTATACTATAAATTACTGCATTTTCTAAACTTGCTTGGAATGCCTGCCTGTGCCTTAAACTCACCCATGCCTGGCTTTCCTTGATCAGATAACAACCCTTTCTGAAGCTTACTGGCACATCATAAATTCTGGTTTTCCCTGGCCAGATAAGGACCCTTTCTGAAAATCTAATGGTGCCTCATAAATTCCATGTTGAAATATAATTTACTCTCTAAGTGCTGGAACATTAATTTACTACCTGCCTTTGTGTTGTACTTGTCAAATTCTGTTATCTGTAAGTTCTCAACACACCCCCTGCTTTTTGTAACTTTCTGGGCTATAAAGCTGTGCTCCTAGAGACATGTGAGAGTGTCTTCTGTTCCCATGTTTTTTGGAAGAGACAGCCCCACCCAGTCGAAATTACAAGCTTGCTTTAATTTGATTTCAATTGGAGTTGATGGTCTTTTCTTTGTGTCATGGTTTAACATTAAGAAGCCAAAATCTCCCTTTATATTTATAATACATTCTCACCTCCGTAAGACTCAAGTAGTTTGTATGAAACCAAAACAACCATTAAATTTATATGATGAAATAGAATAGGATAAATATAAATATTGAGAAATAGACTACATTTCTTTAATGCATGCTCAAAGTAAGAGTTTGGAGTACTCTACCATAAATAGGAAGTGTAGAAATATTATGTATATTTCTAAAGAAAACACTCAGAGAAAAAATTCCCTTTCCAGGTTAACTCTTGATGCTGTCTTATAATTAAATAGAGAAATATAATTGCTATTCAGTGTGATAATAATTACTCTATGAGGAGCTATTTTGTGCTATTGAAATACTAAGGACACACCGAGCCTGGATCAGCTGAATTCAGGCTCCTGTTCGCCTGCATCTTGCAGACAAACCGCTGTGACTCAGGCTAAACAATCCCGCAGAAACAACTGGTTGGCCCTTCTGAACCTGCGGAGGTTAATACCAACAGAGCCTTCATAGGCAGTGGCCACACGGTTGAGACGGGGCTTGGGAGAGCCAGTCAGGACCCACCCGTTGCATTGGTCACCCAGCAAAGGGAACAAACTGTCGCCATTTGCATGGGATACCACCATGGCAGAGAACTGACGTCACCAGAATGGGGTGGAGGAGATAACTTCATTGAAACCAGCAGCGGCAGGTGTGTAACCTCCTAGTCTTCCCTCTCCACACAGCGGGGAAACCTTAAGGGCCCCTCCCAGCTCTCCC